AGATGTAGCAACTTGAGAAGTAGTAGTAGGCTGAACTAGAGGAGGTTTTGAAATAGAAATGACTTGAGCAGATATATTTGTGCAAGTTCTCTTTATACTTACTTTAGTAAAAGTTCTAGAATTGCTTACTGGCCTTCCTCTATGCAGTTGTATAAAATTAGACTTAAATTGATTGGTTTAAAGAGCATAATATAGAAACATTTACGTCGTTTTCTTCCCTCAATTGGCACCATTCCTTAGGTTTGCTTACAATGGCTAATAATGCTAAAACTCACAATTAATTTAGTTTAATTAGTCACTCAATTTGTTGACAAAAAATAAAATTTCTTTTCTAAAATCCTTTCATTAAGTTTCTGCAATTAGTTAGGGTATAAAAGTAAAATTATACAATTTATTGTTAGTAATAGGTCCAATTTTCTCCTAGGGGAGGTTAGTGCAAAAATCATAGAGAAGGTGAATGCTAGTGTAAAAAACCTCAAAGGAGGTTTATGCAATTATCCCATAATTTTAAGTAACATGATGAAATGACCAGGAACAATAGGTGGTGAATATTTTTCAATCTTTCCATTGCACTTTAATGTGAATTGGGCATTTAATTTAATTTATGACTATGCTTTTGTCTCAGTATTGTTAGAACTTATTAGCGGCTTCTTTCCCATTTTAGGAAAACATGTAGAAATGGTCCCATAATTTTAAAGTAAATTGTAACTTATAGTAGTATAAAATACACCTTTTAGTAACTTATGGCATTTTAAAGTAAATTGTAACTTATAGCATTTGTAACTTATACATTTTTAGTCTCCCAGAGTTTTAAAGTAAATTGTTTTTGGTTTTTAACATATAGTATAAAAGAGTGCATACATAACTTTCTGCATTTTCCCACATTTTTTAACTGCTTCTTAGTGATACACGTACAAAGACACTGATGAATATTTTTCCTGTCATCTGTTTCATCTAAAACTCTGGTTAAGTGGCTGACACATGTATCTCAGCGCGATGCGTGATCATAGTCATGAAAATGGAAGTTTTTGTAAACAAAGTGGGATAACCACTTGGAAACCAAAAAGCTGATAATAGCCACTGAGACCAGAGTGCTTGTTGCTGCTGCGGATAGTGCACCCTGTCTTGCAGCAGCAACAATTCCAATTGAAGCAAGAGAGAATACTTGCAACACAATCTCTAGTGCATTGAGCCCTTTATATGCTAGATTGCAACTCCTGCAGCTGACTGTGTGACTCCAGTACCTGAAGGAATAGGCCAACATGTAATCATGAAAAATATGCCCTGTCGCGTTAACTTTTTTAAGTCTATTGTACGTCACGTATTCTGAAGATAAGAACATGTATGTTATCTAGTAAATAAAGAAAGAAAGAACACTTGGTCTTTCAACCAAGCAATCGAAAGCATTCTTGATTCCTGACCAATTGGTCTTAGGATTGGCTCCATAGTTCCTTTCAACATATAGTTTCTTTCTGTCTTACAACCATCCTAGCTGCCAAACTTTGGTCCTCCAGAGAGACAGTACAGCGGTTTTTTTTTTTTTTTTTTTTTTTTTTTTGGGGTGGGGGGGGGGGGGAACAGATCAAAGACTGGATTAGGAATGAAATAAAGTTGAAATTTAAGAATTTGTTAGAGCTTTTTACCTATATAAGCTTCTTGTATTTTGCATGTAGCATGACATGGAACGTTGGGGTTACAGAAACTTATTTTGAAGTTTCTGTATGGAAGAGTGATCATCTCTACTGTTTCTATCAACACAAATAAAAAGAAGCAAAGGCCAATATTTCACTCAAAATGGAAGTGATGTACCTGTCCATAAGCTGCTCCCTTGGTGGAGTGGGTGGGAGAGCTCCAGTGTACTTTGTTCCCCAGTCAATTTCACCGTTGCTATACTTGTTTAACCACCTTCTGAAGCCCACCACAAGGGCATCTGCCTTTGTAGGAACAAAGTAAGCTTTATGCCAGTTTAAGGACCCAAATTCCTTTAATTTCCGCTCCTAAAGAATATAATGAACAAAATAATTAGTAAATCAGGCTACTACTTTTCGTGAAGATTTACAAAGTTTGACATGTTTCCAGATAGAAATATGGTAGAGGTCATGATACCCAAGCTAAGGAAACCTTAAATGGTGGATGGTCTGCACAGAAACCCTAGCTATGAACTCTATCATATTTTCCTTTTCTTTTCAATTCTGGATATGTTTTATTTGTGTCAATGCAAAGGATAATGTTTGTGGCCATCCAATTTATTGTCACCGTTCAAGTCCTGCAGTTCTGGCCTTGCAGCCTCATGCTTGAAAAAAAAAAACACCAAGTGAATATTATGCAGTATCACACTACAGTTGCTTGATCAAAATTTGTGTGTGGCTATCATCTCTTAATTACAGTTCTTTGAATACGCTAACACCAAAATGATAATTTAATTTTTTGTTTTTGGTGCTTAAACTGGTTAAGTTGGTGTGCATTTAAAAGTTCACATTGAACACAAAGGTAATTTTCTAGAGACTGAGTTCCTTTAGTTGTTAATATTGTCCGGCATAATTGTTAAGACTGTTCAGCATAATGTGTCAAAAGTAGGATCATTGGTCCTAAAAGCTTCTGATAGTGCTATGCAGCCTCCAAAATCTTCCAATATGGCTAAAACGTAATATTCTAGTAATCATGTACTCCAGAATACACAACTCATATGTATTTGCCACCATGCACGTTCTCATTTCATCATAATGGCCCTTATGCTCTAGATTTTCTTTGGAGAATTGAAAATCATATATATATATATATATATATATATATATATATATATAAATTCGTATTCTCATCCTTATCCTTTTACTTTATCTCTTTCCTACGTGGTTTATCGACATAACAAGTAGGTGCAACGCGCTTTATGAGTTAATCCCCTAATAACCTACGCTATTCTATCCCTCTTTTTTCTCTTGACTTTACAATTCTAGATAATCCTTCCATAATTCTCTTCCATTCTCTCACCTTTTTTTTCCTTAACCCTAATCGTCAAGCCTAAATTTCCTGGGGATTAGTATAAATAATTTTGAATTATGTTTTTAACTCTCTTTCATTTTCAACTCAAAAGTTCGAAATATCAATTCAAATATTAGATTATCTTTATCAGATTATCGCTATTGAAGATGCTCTACATTTTTACTCATATAAATGGTTCTTGATCTATTACTCATCACTTTATCAAGCAGTGCAGATGTTTACACTTTTCCACAATTTTTTTGGAAAGTTTTTTTTTTCTTCAATGCAAGGACCGCAGTTGGACTTTGTTTATGTTCGCTGTATGTGGTCTGTAATTTCCTACACCTTCTTCATAGTTAGGTCATTGAATTTGAATTTTCTAAGTCTTCAAAAGTTACAGTTTGTTTTTTATTTCTGGCAAGGTTTTTGTAATTAATTTGTTATTTCAATTTATGGATTCACTCTTTAATTCAAGTAGAACACATATTGCTTTTTTGGTTAGTGATTTAAAAGTGGCCTTTTAAACTATGTGTTTTCACACGATTTTTTAATTGCCTTTGACAATTTATTAATTATCTTCAACAACGTATTAAATTTTTTTTTATTTTCTAGGTTTCTGGGGTTAAAAAAATTTTGTGCAGTTTTCAATGTTTTTTTTTTTTTTTTAGATTTTGGTAGAAAGCTTCTAAAGAACAAGAAGGTGTCACTGATTACATAAATGGCAAGGCATCAAGTTCATTGTCATACAGCAGTTCACGTCATGCAATATATATCAGACTATTTAGATTTTTTATGTTTTTGACTTAATAGCAAAATACATCTTATGTTTTCGTTTTGGTTTCTATTAGCCATGAACAGATTTAGAAGGTTGCTGTGTTCCTATGACTTGATTGATTCTGAATTCTTATCTTTTATTAATATTTCATTCAGTTTCTTTTCTTTTCACATTAACTTTTAAGCCATTTATATTAAGTACCAAAATTGATGTTTTGGTAACGGGTTGGCCATTCTTTTGTTTACAGAAGATCAACCAAGATTTGATCTTCCCTATTTTCAAGTTTTTGAATGTCATCATACTGTCGAATTTTTTTTTTTTGAATTATTAATCACTGAATTAGATGTTTAAATTTACATTATAAGACTTTTTTTGAGTAAAAATGTATTTAAGAAAAGTTATAATAGATTATACAATAAGTTTGTATTTTATGCAAATATTTTTATAAACTACACTGAATAATTTATTATTTTTAGACAATTCCCATTCAACGAATGGATACAAAACTAGTTTCAATATAGAGTTGCAACCTTGACATTCTGATGTTCAAATTACCATGACTGAAGATTTGGACACGCACAAGGACCCCTGTTGTAGAAAAGAGAAGAGGAAAGGTTCCAGGGAGTACCTCCACATGGAGAAGAGATAAATCTGAATCTATAATTAGATTTTGGTTCACATGAAATATCCAGTGCGGAACAATACGATCTATCCAGACGTCAAAATTCCTTGGTGAGGTAAATATCAATCTGCTATTGCCCGGGCTAACTGGAATACATAGGAACACCAAAAGTACCTTCTTCACTGGCTTACTTGTGGATGGATTCTGCATATAGTTATCCCTTATATGAGTGCTATAAATGGACAATTAGACAACGATAGGTAGATATTATAGAAAAGAAATAATTAAGAAACAATGACTAACTTCAATATTACCAATCAATTACCTCTGTGGTTCCCGCTAGCACTACAACAAAAATGCCCTTTAACGGTATTTAAAGGTGTCAGTATAGATAATTTAACCTGACACTTTACTTTTCCTCACACCTAGGACGAGTGTCGTCCCTTCCAATGTAGGGATAGGTATGTAATATTCAAATGTGTCAGGAAAACTGTGTTGTTATAACATCTCATCTGCCAACGAAAATTCCTTTTCTTGATAATCGAAAGTGTCAGGATAGCTATAGTACAACATTACAATATCAAATTCTATGCTGACACTTTTAATTGTCAGGATTTTTTTTTCTTTTTTTTGATATAGAAGCAACCTGCAGGTAGTGCTCCCTGCTATACATTCCGTCAATCAGAAACCCAAAGGACTTGTAAAATTATCCCAAAGAACAGAATGCATATAGTAATCTAAAAGCAAAAATCAATGCTCAAATATAATTTATTGAACTAAAAGTCAGTAACAAGTACTAACATAGCAAATTCCTAACAAGTACAAACTTGAAAGATTCTCTTGTGGACAAACTAAAAGATCCTCATGTGCACAAACTAAAAGATTCTCTTCCCTAACAAGTAGAAAGAACTTGCAGTAGCTGCCAAACTTTCCAATGAAATTAGACCCTTCAATCATAGCCACGAACACCCCATCAATCTTCAGCTGGTTCCACCTGTGCACAAAGTTTGTTGGGATCATTAGATCATCATAGCTAGCAATAAAATTCATTAATGTGTGAAAAGCATAAGGAACCACTTACAAAAGCTGATCTTCAGTGTAGTTTGTGTGCCTCTCGCATGTCTTAGTCCACTTCTTGAACCCATTGACAGAGCATTGCACAGTAAATTTGAAGGGACCAAACATGGTAACTCAAACAAAAAATTTGAAATAAAAAAAAACAAAAGAAGCAAAATCATCTTAGGATTACCATCCAGTTTATCCTTGTTTCTCGATTCGCAGATGGTAAGCACTTTAACCTGTTCAAAAAGAAAAGATTCAGCCAAGTTGTTAAGACATTAATCTGTTTCTGTATGGTAATCAAATAAACACGTCCAATCAACAATATATGCCAAGGAGTTACATGTCTGACATTTCTTCATTTTCAACATCTAGACCACTACACTCAGTTATTAACTTCCATAACACACATTATTCAAGCAAATTCTTGCTCGGGAGCCAAAACCAAAATGAACACGCTTGCTACCTACTAACTGCTTCGCATAATACACTTGTCCTGTACCATCTCTAGGTCCAATTCTAAATCCTAATTGTGGGACCATTAAAGCACCAGACATTCTCTGCTCACAATCAGTTAATCCAATTTACATAATAAAACAAAAAAAATAAATAAATACAAAAATTAAAGATGAAAACATCTCTGATCAGAGTAGTATAAATGCCTATCGAAATTTGCATCACAACCAGGTATGACCCCAAGCGAAGCATTTGACAGGAACATTAAACAAAGAGAAGTAATCAGAGTTTTGAATAGGAAAGGGCAAGACAACAACCTGTGGATGAAACTAATAGGTCCATATCTTGAAAGCAATGCACCGACAAAAAACTGCACCATGTATTTCAGAATGGAAAGGTTGACTATTTATTTCCTCATTCAAGCAGAATACAAGGTACTTGCAATCTACCCTATTCAGTAGCCATGTAATCATTGCCAATAGTGCAAGTGGTCCAAGCCTCTATCCATAGTCATGTAATCATTGCCAACAACAAGTGATCAGTAATCGTCTCACATTTCCCTTTTCCGTTATGTTAAGGGCACAAAAGCTTAGCTTCTGCTGTTATAATTCTAGAGAATAGAATTGGAATTCTCGTGCACATAAGCTCCCTCTCTCCATACACACCAAATTAAAAGAGAAAAAGGAAGTAAGCAGGAGCTAGGGATGATCAAAATTACCCTAATAGCAGTCATTTGATCCATCAGGGCCTGAGAATGTGAAGCCAAGCCTTCTCTAAACTCTTGCAGACCATATCATCAGTAGCAAAAAGAGAATAAGATGTTTAACACTCACAGTATGGAAACTCAAAAGGGTCTCACCTGAAATCTAACGTACAACCGCTTTTCGCCTATGTGGTAAGGGATAATCACGGGGCGTTTATCTACATATTCTTTACATACGAGTGGTTCTATTCTGTATAAAAAATGAATGTGGCAAGGAATAAAATGTCATAAACTGAGCATGGTAACTCAAACAAAAAATTTGAAATAAAGAAGCTGCTGCTACTAAGAGAGACGGGGGAACCTAAGCATTTCATACTCGACGAGGCACAGCTCAACGATAAAGAAGGACAGAAGCTCCAACTAGTCACCAGAAGATTATTGCCAGTTATTAGGCAGATCAAGATAGTGCAAAAAATTCACATACACTAAATACGAAACAATACCTTTTTATTAGATTGAGCAGCTTTAAGAAAGCGCCTCATGAAGACATAAGGAGTAGGCACTGAAAGATTAAACTGCAAGATATTGATCATTAAGCTCTCCTGCAGCGAGCCACAGTTCAATTTTAGTTATATGACAAAGGAAAGCTTCATATATCAAAGATCAACTCATAGACAATAGATGCCATAACAAACCTACCATCTCAAGCACATCATTTCTGGAGTAAGCCCTGTCAGAAATCAATATGAGGTCTTCAACGACAGGAACAGAAACTTCTTCATACTTGCAAGCCAGAAGCATTGCTGTCACTCCAACAAGTTGAAGTTTCTTGCGCACCAAAAAGACTGATGGTTTGGTAGTAATTCTGAGGATACAGCTGAAGACTAGAAGCACTGTTCTACTGCTGAAGACCTATAAGATTGCAGACAGTAGGTGAGCTCTGGACCCTGTGCATATGCATTCGGGTGCTGTGATAGCTGTTCTGGAGCATGGGTTCATGGGCATTTCCATCGGTGTTGCAGGCTTGCAGCTCTCAGGTGATCTTGGGGAAGAGCAGGCAGAAGATATGCCAAAGGAAGCCCCAGGGGCAGGATGTACAGTCAGAGTTGGGTGATTCTTTTTACCTCCCAGTTGACTTGTTTTGCCACCCCTTCCTAGTTTTGTCTTCGATCACAAGTTGCAACAATAGTTTCAGCAGTCCATATAAGACCAATATAAAGCACTAAAAAAATTGCAATTCTCAGCGAGTAAAGCATTCATAGATAAAATTATGCTAATTTAAAATGTACAACCTCTAAAGTACACGGCCAGCACTTCCATCATTGACAGTGAACAACCCAACAGCAATATGTTCCGGCGCAATATAATTATACACCATAGTCCTCGAATACTCCACGGCAGCCTCAAAAACCCGCTTAGTGCTCAGCGAAAATGGCACATCCATGGTCGAGACCTCTGCCCCCTCAGGACCAAGACCACTCCCATTACCCTTACCATTCTCCTCCTTATCATCAGAATTGGTATGCCAAATGCTCTTAACGGCTTGGTGAGCCATCTCGATTGTGATTCCAGAGCCTAAAAACCCACCGGAAGCACTATCTTCTGCGATAAGTCCTAGCAAAAGATGCTGGGTATACACCATTTCTACCTCCAAAGCATTTGCCTCCCTCTGGGAAAACATAGCCACTTTAATTGCTCTCTCAGTAAATTTCTCAAACACCTCAGCTACAATATACAACGATCGGTTTGACTTAGCTTTTCCAGACGCAACAGAAATCATAGTTTTGTCAGAAATCGAAATCCCAAAATAGGAGGAAGAAGAAGAAGAGGAAGAACAGCTAGTGCTGGTGCTGGTACTGGTACAGCTGCTGGTGATTGTAGGAGGGTAGCTAGGGAAAAGAGAAATAACATTCCGGCAGCGGTGGTGGTGGCGGTTGAGGGGAGAAAGACGGCGGTGAGCTTGAGGAATGGAATGAACTGAAAGCGGAGACGATCAATCCCATGGCTGATTCTTCCTTACTTTAATTGGTCATGGGAGCCAGAAAGAGCGAAAGGAAAGAAAGTGGAAGAAAGTTTCATTTAGTACTTCAGTGGTCTATTATTTTCCAGGTTTCCTTTACCCATCTGCAATCGTCTTGCGCCATCTACAAAAAACTCCGGTCTTAACGCCCCTACTTGGCTGAGAGATAATTTGCCAAGAGTTAGTTTGCGGAGAGAGTGTTTTTTGTGAGAGAGATCAGAAGAAGCAAAATTTGACTAAGTGTTTTGGCCGGCAAATTGAAAGTTTTGAATATTTCACAGCAAATGAATCTTCCGCCAATTCACTATGATGTTGTTTTGTGCCTTTCCTTTTTTTTAGTATATCTCACATTTTCTCAAGTGTCATGATAGGTAATCTAAAGGCACATTATTATTTTTATATCAGATAAAATAAAAAAAAATTAGAGTGTATATTATTGAGTTGATAACAAGTGTCATAATAGATGTGTTATAATGACACAAACCAGCAAGTGTCCTTATAGACATGTCACGAAAAGTCATTTTTGTTGTAGTGTAGTGAAGTAGTTACATTCTCTTGACTACCTCCTAATGACCAGGAATAAAAAACACAAGGTGGAATAAATATGTGATCTGCAACTGTCGATGATTTTGCAGTGAAACCCTTTTCGTCCAATGCCTTTACCCTTATCTCAATTGGTCTCCCTCCTTCCCTGTCAGCCTGAACAGTGCAGGAAAATGCAGAAAAGAAACTATTAGTAATTTGGAACCCATATAAAAGGTTAGGAACAGCAAACATTATCAAATTGTAAGGTAAAGGCTCTTATCTCTCTGAGGACCGCGGGACTCTCAGTATGCCATAATGTGCATATGGAATATGAGAAGGGTCCATAAGATTTTCAATCAGAATCTCGTACCTGTAAATGCTTGGCTATATATCAGAAGCAACTTAAGAATAAAACAAACAGTATTTGACATAACTTTTCAATCACTTTTCCTGTTTTTCTTATTACACTTCATAACATGAACACAAGAACCAAAACCTTTTAGTTTTACCATCTTTTGAGTTTTGCCTATTTCTCTTTATTGATTTTTCCCGCATTTTTCTCACCCTTCTTGAAGGAAGCTAATGAATTTCTTTCTTTTCCTTTGCATTTCCCAGAGCATGTATTGAATACTAACACAAGTAACAGTGAAAGCAATTTACTTTAGCAGCCTTTTCAATATGATTAGAGTGCAAATGAAGATTTGCCTAGTATGAGCGTGGAACAACAACAACCACAAAAGCTATAATAAAGGGGGCAACTAATTGCTTACCCATATGGTATATCTCTAGTGAGCATCCTATTGGTAAAGGATGGATCATCAATTTCCGGGATGTATGGAGGCTTTTCCTTTGAAAATATGTCTTTGTACTGACTATCAGCATTAGGCCAAAACCAAAGAATGCCATTTTGCACACAACTTGGATATGCAGCTACACATGCTTTGCTAGAAGTATGGATCTGAACTTCCAAGCAAAATGTCAATCCATCATGCTTTGGTTTAGGTACAATGGAAATGGCAAGATTTGCATGTTTAGACATGATGTATCTGCTATGTACAACAAAGTAAGCAAATGCATTTCCATAGCATCAAGTATCAGAATGAAGCTCCAAACTGGCATACTTAAACAGTAGAAAGCTATTGGTAATATTCAAAATTTCTAAATTTAGTATTGCATAAAAGATGTTCACAACAACTGGAAACAATATTCATTGAATAACTGTCCGACATAGAGGTAATTCAAGTTTTGAACCAAGCCAAGCTTGATTGGTAGATAAAGAAAAATCGCTCATCAGAATATTATGCATTTTCTCATAGAGCCTTGGTGGAGAATTAATTGAAAAAAAATGGAAAAAGAGAAGTGGCAAAATTTTTTGTAGATTTCAAGTTCATAATGGCTGATGAATGCTTAAAGTTCTTTTTACTTTTTAGATGAGGAGATTTTGAGTA